ACTTCGATTTTTTCTGTTTTTCTTCTTTTTTCTTTCCTTTTGATTTAAATTTTTTCCGTTCCTCCAAAAATTCAAATTATCTTCTTCCCTACTTCTTTTCTCATCTTTCTGATTTATTTTATTTCCTTTAATTATTTTAAAAATTCGAATTTTTTTGCGGCACCCTGAAATTTGATGAGGACTTAGCCATTCTTGCTTTCGGCACACATTTTGACCTCGTGGGGGTAACGAAGTGCTGCCGAAATTTGTGAAAAATCCAAAACTTTGTTATTTTCTCTTGCACTTTCCTTCCTCTTGGCACATTTTTGACCCCATCCGGGGTGGGAAAATATTGCCGAAAATTTCAAAAAAATAAATATTATTTCTCTCCTCAATCTTTACATTTCATTTATTTATTTATTTTTATTTATTTTTTTATTTTATTTTTATCTCGAAATTTTATTGTTTATTCTATTTTCTTTCCCCCTCCCCTCCATATTATCTTTTTTTCTTGCTTAGGTCGCCGCTACCCTCCCCTAACCACCGAAACTCCGGTTAGGGTTTTCTTAGGGGTTTTCTAGGGTTTAAGGTTTTTCTAAACCCCCTACTCTCCCGCCTCCTCCCGTCGGGCATCCTGGACCCGAACGGCTCCTCTCCCCTCGAGCGGTTTAGCGCGTTCTTCTCACGCGCGACCCGCCAAATCCGGGGTGAGCCGACTCACACATACTCACTCCGCTCCCACGGTCCCCTTCCTCTTACCGGCGGGTCCCTCTACCCACACACCCCCATGAGTTCTACCTCCCCTTCCCTTCCGACCATGGAAGGGAGTTCCTTTAAGGAGATCACCGCGGCGCCATCCACCTCCCAGGTGAGCGTTCAGCCAGCGGGTCAGGGTCAGGCCCATGCGGACACGATGGACCTTCATGCCACCCTCGTAGCGATCCAGGCGCAACTTAGTACGCTTGGACCGTTGCAAACGCAAATCAATGCGCTTGCCCTTGACGTCAACCGCCTCAAGGGCTCTCCTCATCACTCTCCCCACCGCTCCCATACCCCATCCCCTACCGGCTCCGAGTCCGGCTCCCCACGGCTCTAGAGTTCGAGACATCGTGGTTCCCCCTCCTCTGCGGGTCAGACCCAACACTCCTCCGCAGCAGTGGCGAGATCAGCTGCCGCTCAGACCACCCCGTCTGTTGCGGCAGTTCTCCCGACCACGGCCGCCCCTACCGTCTCTACTACTGCCGTAGGTGCTGCAGTCCAGGTACCGCCTTATGGCCCAGCAGTTTCATCCACCCACACCAGTGTTGCTTCCCAGCTTCCCGCACCGGTCGCGGTAATACGGCCCCGCCCTCTTCTTCCTGCCTTCGTCCCCCCGCCCCCACAGCAGGGTACCGCCCAGGCTGGGATTCCTCCTCCCACTGGGAGACCCGCTCCGCCCCCTCCACCTCCGACCCCGCGCACCCAGCGAGTGGCCACTTTATAGGCCACCATTGCGCAGGCTTAGGCGGAGATTCTCGCTCTGAGACAGCCTCACCCATCACAGGCTGCCCACCCTTCTTCCTCTATCACCCCTTTGGTCCCCATGATGCAGGCTCGTTTCCCTCGACCTGCTCCTCAGCCTCTTCCCTCCTACCTGGCTATTCCGGGACAGCTGCCCGCGGCCGTTGCCTCCTCGTCTGCTGGTCTATCCGCCAGTGGCCACGGCCCACAGCCTTCCCCCACCTCTGCCCCTGCAGCTGCCTCGACTTACGCTGCCGCAGTGCACTCGCCTCGATCTCTCTCCACCCGCCATCAGCACAGTGGACATTCTCTTGTGCGCACCACGGACATCCCCGAGTATGATGGGACATCGCGTGTCTCTCGCTGGTTGCAGATAGGAACGCGCACGCTCTCTATGACGACCGCCCGTCAGAAGTTGTGGTGCGATGTGCTCGCAACCAAATTGCGAGGTAGCCCTTCCACTGCGTGGGAGGATCATTATACCCAGCGCCTCCGCGTGGGTGAGGTCCCCACTCTGGCCGACTTTGCGGCCTTCCTTCAGGACCGTTTCGGCGTTCGTCATGACGCCACTGACGCCTTAGACCGCGTCACCCAGACCAGATGGTCCAGGTCCTTTATACCGGCCGTCCTGGAGCATCACATCCGGGTGTTTCAGGACGCTCGCCTTGTTTATGACGAGACGTTCTTACCGGAGGTCACACTCACCGACCGGTTCCTTGTCAGCCTGCCGACTGACTACCGCCTAGAGCTATGGAGGCGATTATTATCTTCCGTGGAGCAGGCATACGAGGCTGCGCGTCAGTACCAGAGGATGTGCAGTCGCTTCTCCGTCGCCCCATCCTCTTCGCGGCCAGCCGCCACCTCCCAGTCTCGGGGTACCACTCGAGGCCGCTCCTCGTTTGCTGGTCGTTTTCGTCGCCCAGCTCGAACTGGAGCGCCATTCGCTCGACACTACAGTTCTCTCGAGTATGGAGAGGACGCCTCAACCGAGCTCGATCCTACCATTGGGGACGCCCCCGAGGACATCGAGCTTCGGGAGGTCATCCAGTACCACTTGGATGACGACACTGTCCCAATGGTCGAGCGTCTGCACATGGCCATGTCTGCCATGGGTCGTGCACGCAGTCGGGTTGCACAAGCTGGCGCCCGCACACCCACGGTTCCTCAGATAGACCTCCCGCAAGGTTTTGTCCCTCCTCGCGGAGCTCTATCCCCCGAGGAGCGTGCCGCCCTCGAGGCCCGACACGGCTGCCTTCGTTGCCGTCAGGATCGACACACCTCCACACGGCGTCCATACCACACCGCCCTCGATCGGTACTACGCTGACATTTCTTGTCAGCGCCGATCTCAGTCCCCCCCCGGCCCCGCCCGGCCAGCCCCACCCAGCTAGCCACGGTGCAGTGTACCCCTGAGGCCTCGCTCGTAGCCGGCTTCCCGACCACCGAGTCGCGGTTTGCCCCTTTGGCTACCCCACCAGAGGACCCTGAGGACATGACAGACGCTGTTCTCTCTGCCCCGTCGTCTGTCGAGGTATCATCTGCCTCTCAGCAGACCGCCACATCTAGCGCTTCTCTTCCGAGACTTCCGACGCGTCACGCCATTCGCACAGCCCGTTGTAGCGCTCAGTTGGCGACTCGCGATGACGTTGTGTCATCTCTCCTGGATTTGAGCATTCTTCAGGCTCGTCAGGAGCGACTCACGAGACACGTAAACGTCCTTCGTCGTCTTCTCGCTCTTCTCTCTGACCCTGATCGTACCCTCCCCATTATCCCTATTCGCCTAGGGACATCCACGAGAGTGTATCGGGCTTTATGGGACTCTGGCTCTCAGGGAGATTTCGTTCACCCTCGAGTGGTTGAGGAAGCTCGCCTAGCTACCTCTGGGTCTCGCTCTCCTATCTCCGTTACCCTCGGAGACAACAAGACATAGCGCTTTTTCGATTAAACGGTCCCCGACCTCCACTACTCCCTCACCCTCCAGCCACCGGATAGTACTCAGGGGCCTCGGCGCTACCATTCCTCCGCATACTTCGATGTGCTGGAGACTCGGTATGACTTTATTCTTGGCACTCCCTGGTCCCGCCGGTTCCGTGGCACAGAGGCCGAATGGGCGACCGAGACACTCATTCTCAAAACGAATTGTGGTCAGACCCATCGCGTCTCTTTCATTGGAACCACGGGCAACACCCCGCCCGACCTACTTCCCCAGGACCCTCGTCCCTCAGGGTCCCACCCCAACATCGCGTTCACTTCCCCTCGTCAGTTTGCTCACTTCATACAACAGGAGGACGTCACGTTCTACTCAGTGAACGTCATGGATCTTCTTCGCTACGATCCACTCTGTCCCGAGGTTGAGCTCATCTCTCTAGAGCCCGATCCCCCTGACCCTCCTTTCATCTTCGCGGTTCCCATCTCTACATCCACTCGTCAGCCTGCGGATACCCCCTCCACGTCTCAGGCCCCTACGCCGTCGATTGTCGAGTCCACACATACGTCTCGTGCTGACGCAGACGCTGAGGAACTCACACGGTTCACGGCAGACTTAGAGTCAGTCGTTCGCGACCTGATTCGAGAGTACCGCGACGTCTTTCCCCCGTATTTCTCATACAGCGAGATTCCCCCGATGCGCGGTGTTGAGCATTCTATCCAGCTCGTGCCTGACTATCGTGTTCACCATCAGGTACCGTACCGACTCTCGATCCCAGAGGCGACGGAACTCAAGCGTCAGCTTAAGGAACTCCTTCGACTGGGTTTCATTAAACCCAGTAACTCCCCTTGGGGTGCACCTGTCCTCTTTGCTCGCAAAGCGGACGGAACTCTCCGCCTCTGCATCGACTACCGCGGCCTTAACCGTTACACGGTTAAGAACAGTTATCCCATGCCCCGCGCGGATGAGTTGTTTGACCGTCTGGCAGGCAACCGCTTCGTCACGAAGATCGATCTTCGTAGCGGTTACCACCAGATCCGCGTTGCCACAGAGGTTCAGCCGAAGACCGCCTTCCGATCGCGCTTCGGCCACTACGAGTTCACGGTGATGCCATTCGGCCTCACCAATGCCCCCGCCACCTTCCAGACGGCGATGAACGACATCTTCAGAGACATCCTTGAAGAATACGTTCTCGTATACCTGGACGACATCTTGGTCTACAGTCGTACCTTAGAAGACCATATCAGACACCTCCACGATGTCCTACAACGGTTACACAAGCATGGCTTCTATGCCAAGCTCAGTAAGTGTCGCTTTGCCCAGCGCAAAGTGGATTTCCTAGGACACCATGTGTCTGACCAGGGTCTCCACATGGACGACGCGAAGATCACTGCTATTGCAGAGTGGCCCGTCCCCACATCTGCCAAGCAGCTTTGCAGCTACTATAGTAATTTTATCCAGGGATACGCTAGATATTCCTACGTCCTTACCTCTACCCTCCTCCGAAAGAACCCGCCGTGGTTTTGGACACCCCTGTGCGAGGACGCCTTTCGCGCCCTCAAGAAAGAGGTGACCTGTGCGCCGGTTCTTCACCTTCCCGATTTTGATCGTCCCTTTATCGTCACCACCGATGCGTCAGATTTTGCAGTAGGAGCTGTACTTTCTCAGGTGTTTCCCTCTCCTCCAGATTCACCTTACCCCTATGTTCCTCCTTTCCCCCCCCCTCCTGCTGACACTGCTTCTCGACTGACGCCTACCCTCCCACCACTTCCCTCCACTGACAGTCCTCCTGTTACTTACTCCCCGACCATCACGGAGGATGGGACTGTCGAGGCTCGTGCTGGGGATTGCCCGATCGCGTTCTACTCCCGTCAGCTACTGCCAGCCAAGATAAACTACACTGCCGATGAACGTGAGGTTCTCGCAGTAGTTTATGCTACCCGGCATTGGCGTCATTATCTGCACGGGGCGCCCTTCACGGTGCGCACGGACAACTCAGTTGTGCAGGCTTTCCTCACGAAGCCTAAGCTTTCCCCTCGACAGGCATGCTGGTGGCGTGACTTATCCGAGTTCAGTTTCACCACTCAGCCCATCAAGGGTGAAACGAACCGCATCGCGGATGCCTTGTCCCGCCGTCCTGATCACAATCAGGAACCCATCCATCTTACTGCCATCTCCATCACCACTGTTGATCAGTCGGTGATCGACGCGTATCCCACTCAGCACCGCCACTGCCCCGATTATCACATCATCCACGCGACACTGCGGAGTAGCAAGACCGTTCCTTCCTACTCCCTTAGGGAGAACGGCCTCGTGTACTGGCATGGCAGATATGGTAAGCTAGAACCACGTATCTGCGTTCCCTCCACCGGACAGCTCCGCGTCTAGGCTGTAGCAGAGTTCCATGACCAGGCAGTTGCCGGTCATATGGGTTTCCACAAGACGTTGGCTCGTGTTTGCCGCCTATACGTCTGGCCGAAGTCCAAGAACTTTGTCAAAGCCTACATCCAGGAGTGTCCTACCTGCCAAGAGGTGAACAGTGAGAACCACCTTCCGTATGGGTTAATTCAGCCCCTACCCATACCTGAAGGTCGTTGGCAGTCCATCTCGATGGATTTCATTGGTCCCCTTCGCCCACCCACTGAGCGCGGTCATGATGCTATCTTGGTCGTCGTCGATCGCTTCACGAAGCGTGCACGTTTTGTCCCGTGCCGCTATCG